TATGCGGGCCTCTCACTGTTGTGGCCTCTCCCGTCGCGGAGCACAGGCTCTGGACGCGCAGGCTCAGCGGCCATGGCTCACGGGCCCAGCCGCTCCGCGGCATGTGGGATCATCCCGGACTGGGGCACGAACCCGTGTGCATCGGCAGGCGGACCCTCAACCACTGCGCCACCAGGAAAGCCCAAGGGCCTCATTTTTTAATGAACAAGAGTTAAATGTGTGTTAACTTTTTTAGAGCTTTATAGCTTATAAAGCTTTATAATTAACCCTGTGCTCTGAAAAGTTACTTTTCTTTCTCTCATTGTCAAAATATTGACTGATTATAGTTTTCCAAAATTTAGATCTGAATATGATCCCTGAGGTCTCTAGAAATTTCAGACTGGGTTGCCCAGTACCATTCAGGAGGCCATTTTGGAAGTTTGCCCTTTGGATTGTTCTTCATAGAAGTCCGGAATCTGAATAGCTCCACCACAATTGCATAGAATACTTTGGGTTGAATTATGTGATCTTGATAAATTAAAAAATCCTATTTTGGTAGTTTTTAATAGTCAAAAACTGTTGCAAGAGTAATTGAGCAGATGGGGAAAGCAAGGATGTCATTTTAGGGAATTCAGTTGTACTTGGTTATTACTGGTAGTGAATTGTTATTGAGCTACCTTGGTGTCACTTAAAAGTCCATTGACTACGAACTGTGTTGGGAAAATGTTGCCATGGTGATTTTATTTTCTTATAATAGAATTTCCTATTCTTAATCAAACAAAGTATCTGGATATGAAAGTTATGCTGGCAACATCCTCAGAGGTAAACTTCAGAGTTGTCTCTCCACTGAGTTTGCATCTGCATAATTTTCTGGATAGCCAGCAGGTGAATTTTCAGGCTTTCCAGGACATAATATTGAACAGATGGTGAAATAGGATGGGAAGCTAAGGAGGGGAGACAAATCTTTATATTAGAAGGACACACACAAAGCTTTAAAAGTTGATTAGAACAGCTCACCCCATGTATTGTTTTCTTTTTGAGCCCGTGTGCTATTGGTGTTGCCATGTAGCCCTGTACCCCAGATGGTCTGGGGTCTGAGCCTGTGATCCACATTCAGCAAGTAGTGAAGAACATTCCTTGCAGAGGAGACCCTCCTGGTGAATGCCTCCTGCCCTAGTGGAGAGGTTATTCACACCTGGTTGAATGTGGTCTGAATCCCTTAACATCTATATGGGGTTTGAGATATACTTTTGTGAACAAAAGGGAAAAGATGCAGTCGACAAACGCTGCAAAATAATGACCACGTAAACATTCTTCAACTGATATCCAGCTAAGAGCAGTCTCAGTTCACTGGTGGTAGAAGCTAATGATAGGAAAGGCGTTCTGGAGATTTTATCCAAGGGAAATCCCAGGCTCAGGGGTTGACTTGGTTCAGGCCTGGAGTTTTGTAGCCCTGTGTCATCCTTGATGCTAGAAAGTTGACCCCCACGTTGCCCTCACTCCGCCACACACCTTTGTTTTAGCTGTTCTAGCACCTTGATTTTCTCAGCCGTTAACCGATCTCACAGGGCTGGATCCTGGGATAGATGAAATAATGTTGGAAAAACCTTAAAAGTGCCTTCGGGTGTCAGATGTGGCAAGACCTTGAGCATCAGTGTGTGAGGTGTCCCATATGTTGTATCTGGGCGGGGGTGTGGCTCAATGCTCTGGCAGGGGCCAAGTCCAAGGATTCCCATTCCGCAAGTGTGCTAGTGTGGGAACCACATAGACTCTGCTTTTCTTTCC